TCGGCAGGGAGTCTGCTTCTCCCTCTGACCCTCCTCCCTCTCATGCTCTCTGTCTCTCATTCTCTCTGTCTCAGATAAATAAATAAAAAATCTTAAAAAAAAAAAAATGGTTATTAATTAGTTGCTTTGGAGTGGTCATGCCATACTTGCCCCGACAGCATGGAGACGGGCTACGGAACCCCAGAATATAACCTCCCTACCACCTTTGGACAAACAGACAATTTCATAACTGCTCTCAACAAGAGAGCTTCTCAACAAGAAAACACAGATGTTTCCCTGAATCTGAAATAATCTGCAAACTGCTGTTCCCCCCTCTCCCCGCCCTCAGAGTGCCACCTGCTCTCTGGCTGTCACTTGCTTCAGCTTCATGGGGCCCTTTCAAAAAATCAATCTGCAGATGACTGCGGCCGCCGGAGCAGCCGAGGGGAGATGTACGCGGCCCAGGAAGGACACACTTGGCACAGGGGAGCATCCCTCTGGAAGCAGCCAGCCTCATCGGACAGGCCTCGCTGCCCGGCCACAGAAACCAATGGCTGCTGCTAATCTGGCATCAGATTTCTAAAGGGTCGCGTCCGTACCTGCTGACCAGTATGTGTGCAAGGTTCACGCAGAATGAAGCGCAAACCTCACGCTGGGGTTCACCGAACACGGCTGAGCTGCCGGATCGCTGACAGCCAGGGCAGGAGGGGCTCCGCGTCTGGTCTGCTCTGCTCATTTCCAGAGGACAGTCTACTGCTCTGCCTGCCTCCAAGGCCCCCCTGAAGGCTGGTCCCAGCCTGCCTGTCCTGCAGAGACAGGTCCGTCCACTCCTTGCCCAACAAGCATGCTTGGACTCTCCCTGCACCCTTTCAAGTTTCTAATTACAGTCATACTTTATCCAAAATGGCCTTCCCACCTGTGTCTGCCTATTAAAATGCAACTCCCTGCTCCGATCTAGCTCCAGTCCTACCTCGCCCACGAAGTCTCCTGGATCTTTGCACGCCCCACTGCTCTTCCTCCTCCAATGCCCTCTGCTTTCTGCTCGTGGCTGGTCGCTCTGGCATTTACCACATGCTGCCCTGGGGCTCAGCGACTGGTGCGTGAGTCTCATCTCTGTGCGTGGCCCAGGACCTGTCCAGAACGTGGAGCTCATGGCGTGTATGCGTAATGGGGAGGGATGCACAAGACCAGCCACGCCTGGCTGGTACTCATGTGAGAACTGGGCATATTAAGGTGTCATGCTTATGTAGGGGTCCTCAATATGAGGCTCCTGTTTTCAATTTTTGGTGAAATAAACTCGAGTCGTGTGTACGAGTTAAACCGATGGCAGCCACTGAGCTTTCATTCTTGCGGTTACACCATTAAGACTGCTAGCTGGTGTCTCGAGGAGCCAGGAACAAAAGGCACCAAGGGTAAGTGAAGGGCCCACATGACCAACACTCACATGGGCTGGTCATTCAGCTAAAAGCCTTTACTAAAAAAAAAAAAAAAAAAATCTCAGGTGACCAAGCTCTGGGGTCCAGTGGGCTATTTCTGCCCTGCCGCGGGCCACTTGCTGGCTGCCCGAGGTGCAGGGCCTGTGTTTTATACTTCCGTCTCCCCCAGTGCTTACTTCTCACTGGTTGCTCAATTAACATTTGCTGAACAAATGAATTCCTTTTTATTCAGGGAGTCCATACAAATACAGGTATGTTTATGTGTGCAATGTTACTGGAGAAATTGAAGCTGACCCGATGCAGAACGAATACTGCCCGCATTTCCTCATAGGATGATGGGTGTTATCCAAGCCATCATGTTTACACCGTCTGATTCCATCAACAACAGAGAGATGAAATGGAAGCAAATGGGAGAAAGAAAATATCCGGGTGCTGAGATTATGACCCCTGCATCTCTCTACTGTAGTGTTCAGAACCATTTCACCATCTCGCAGTTGATACATGGCGTTAAAGGAAAAAAAAAATCAATGACATACGATGATGTCCGGGAACTTTCAGGAGGCCTTGGCTTTTACCTTGGACAGCAGCACCTCATTCTTGCGGCCCTCCTGGAAAGGAAGCAGAGAACGTGTGCATGAGCTTTCCCAGTCCCAGGAGACACAGTGACTGACCGAGTAAACAGGCCCCCTCGCACGCCGCCACCAGCAAGACGGAATGGCCGGGACGGGTTCACCTGATCTTCGGTGCCAAAGTAACTGTAACGATAACGGGCTTCTGGACTGTAAGGCCGAGAACTGGATGAGGATTAGGCACTGTCATTCCATAAGACTTCAGGAAGCCACTGCAATCCTCAGGGGCCAGAAGCAGCCAGCAGATACTTAGGAACCCATGGACCACTATGATAAGGAAGGGGAAGGTCCTTGGAGCCCGCGGCCAAAGGGGTGACGAATGGCACACTGACTCAGCAAGCAGAGCCCATGGCGAAGTTCCTACTCTGACAGCAGTGGAGATTGGGTATATCCTTAGCTTTAAGAAAGAAACTCAGAGAAGACCGGCTGAGAGACATGCACTGAGAGACACTTCCCCTTTTAAAAATGAGCTGTATGAAATCCATTACTGCAGGTGCCAAGGGAGGTCACTGGTCCCTCTGCATCCAGTGGGGCGAGGTCACCTCTGCATCACTCTGTATCCACCTCTTCAAACATGTTCCAGAGCTTCTCACTACGCCTGCTACTTCCCTCTTGTTCCCACCAGCCTTGACAGCTCAGGATACCTCCACCTGCTAGCAAACAATGTCCCCTCCTTCCTTGGGCCATGTCACCAGGAATCCGGTTTCGGTTTAAGCTGAGAGGTGAACGTGGTAGTGGGAAAGGCCTGGAGAGGCAAGCTGGAGGGCCCCGGCCCAAGAGTGAGGCCAGGCCTCCAGGAGCCCTGCTTCCCTGGAGATGCCCTTAGTGTGGAAGAAATCCTTCCACCTTAACCCTCTGCATCCAAGACCCCCAAAGTCAGTATTTCCATTTCCCTGGGCCTGGCTAGGTGCTCCTGGAGGCCCTTGGTTCTTTCTGGCAGTGCCATGGCTCATGGCTGCAGTGACCCTTTTTTTACTAAGTGCCAGTTCACCTGCAGGTACTTAGCCTTCTCCTCAGTGCTGGGAAATAGCTGGGCTCTGGGCCAGTGGGGAAGGCTGATTGACTGTCAGAAGCAAGGCACTCTGACACTTTTTGAGCACATGTTTCTGGAGGGGGAGGGAGTTAATTGTTCCTGGGCCATGGGAAGAGAAAGAGGTTGAGAGGAAACATTAGAGAAGAAAGTTGTCCTTTTAAAAACGAGTTACTGAAGAGAAAATAAAATAAAATAAAATAAAATGAGTTATTGCGATTTGCTTGGGGAGAAAGCCTCCAGCCAAAAACAAAGCGTGGGTGTGGGGGTAAAGATGGAACAAGAACAGGCAGACAGTCATACTACTCTATTATTAAATTACCTTCTCTACTTATGTGTATTTTTTGAAAATTTCCATAATAAAAAAAGATAAAACAACAAAAGAATGAATAAATACATTCAGTTGTCACCCACTTGAACTTTTAAATGAGGCAAAAACAGCTCAGCAGCATCAACATGCTCCTGTGGTGGCGTCCCCGGCAGGGGCCAGTCTATGTACACAAAGCTGAGATGGTGCCGGAACTTCCCAGTACGGGTATCCTGGGCTGTCACCTGCTCTGTGTGAGCGCTCATGAAGTTTCATGCAATCTACCGGAGGCCCTTGGGGAAATTACAGAATGATACTGTCCATCTGTTCAAAGCAAATGCAGAAAGGGTCCTTTAGGCATTTCTTTCCAGAAGAGAAGGGAAAAAACTTGCCTCTGTTTCTGTCCTACTGAAGACCACACGGGGCCCACCATGTGCCAGACACGGCACTTCAGCCCCCTCGAAACTATGTACTCAAAGTCAGCTTCATGAAAATGCACGGCCTGCATTCGTCAGTGCTAGGCTAGAGTTTAAAGCTCGCTTTGGTGACCTTATGAGAGACCGTGGTTTAGAGACGTAATTAATTAACGTAATACGGCAATTAAAGAAATTTCAGAGTATGTGTTGTTCCCTGGCCGACTTGCTATTAACACACCTGCTGCGATGAGCAAGCCACTGGAAACTTAGAGGTCACTGGATGTCTCTAACCAGTGCCTCGACAGCCAGGGAGGCTGGGGGTCAGGATGAGGGGGCAACACTGGAGCTGCTCAGTGAACGTGCAGTACGCCAGACCTGATGAAGGGAATGACAAAGGTGGCCAGGGCCGTGCTCTGCGATGCTGCTGCGCTCTGCATGAATAGTACCTGCAGCCACCACAAGTGCCAGAGACCAGGATGCAGCAGGGATTTAGAACCCAGGAGGAGATCAGGCAGGTGGGGGGGGGGCAAGGAAAGAAAGCAGACAGAGAGGGTTCTGGAAGAAGACCCTGCCCTGGGATGAAAGTCTGCTCCTTCAAACGAAACTACCACACGTGAGATCTTATCTGGTAACTGCCGTCTGTAAAACAGCACAATTACTCCGGCTGAAGGAATGGGGTGGAAACTGGGGAGCCGTGAGCCTCCGCCAGCGCTTCTTCCTCAAGCTGCGGTGGCCCCAAGGAGGGGCCGAGTCACCGCAGAGAAGCGGGTGGAAAAAGTTTAAGAATTCAGGACAGACACGCAGTTGCTAATTTTAAATTTTTGCCAAGTAAAATGTTAAAAAATAAAGAATAAATACTATCATTTTCATGTCAAAAAACAAGAAAATATGCTTTTTTTTTTTTTAAAGGTGAGTCCTTTATATGAAACCTATTCAGTTGTCTGAAGAACATATATTCCCCTTCCCTTTTTCCCTGACAAGCTTTGGACGGAGGGAAATGGCATGGGCAGGCACATGGTCTAGGGGTCTCAGCGGCCCGGAGGGACACACGTGTGCTTTCTGACGCGAGGGTCTCTGCGCCTGGGGAGGCAGGATCACAGAAAGCCTGATGCTTACCGTCTCTGAAGGAACCGCTGCCTTGGGAGGTCATCTTTAGCCTTCAGCCCTGAGAGCGCATAGTGCGAGAAGGAGCTTTTCCATTTCGCTTTTATTTGCTTTGATTTTGACAGCTTATACTTATCTTCCTCAACTTATCTGCTTTTTGTTTCTGCTGTCATAAGGGTAGTGCTGGTGTGTCCCAGCAACATTTAATTCCTCCCCGCTGGGCCTTTTTTCTGAGTTACTTGCATTAAAGGGGGAAAAGAGCTCTGAGGGGGAGTGGAGGGTCCTGTTGGATCCCTGCCAGCTCGCTCACTAGCCCTTACGAAACTTCAGCTCCAATGCCCGCTAACCACGAGGGGCTCCTAGACCCAAGCACATCACCCAGTCACTCTTCCAGCTGTCTGGCCTTAGGTCTCACTCCTGCTGTGCCCATGGCCAAGTCCGCACCGAGAGAGACCTGCCCTGACCACACCATCTCCATTAGTGCTCCCACCCCCGGCAAAAACTGAAATTAGTCTCATTGGTTATTACTTGTTTACTAGGCTTTGTGTTTCCTAGCTTGTTATCTGTCTCCCCAACCATGACACAAGCTCCTTGACACAGGGAGTGGGTCTGTTTAACAACCTGATGTATCCCCAGGGGCATGGTAGGAGCAGGAAGATCATTTATGGAAAGTGTGAGAGATTTTGAAATGTCTATGGGTTGTGGCCTCCACAAGTTAAATTTAAAAAAAAGGGAAGGAGAAGTAGAAAAGGAAAAATCAGGAAGGAAGGAAAGAAGGAAGGGAGGGAGGGAAACAAGTTTTTAAAAATATACAGGAATAAAATTATTGGTATGAAAAGACTAATTTTTATTCTGTGGACCTAACACCAGGCTACAACCAACACTTCCAGCCCCTCTATATTTAGCAAAATCGCTATACTCACTGAAACCACATGGATTTGGGTTAGGAATTCCTGAAAATGAAGCTGCTGATATCCTAGTAAGTGACACAACGAAGTCTCCTTTCCAGAAAATCTCATAAGGAAAGGGCAAACACTTTTCTTTCTGGACCCATGGAGAGTAACCCTGTCCAAATGCAGGGAGAAAAAGATGGGGACAAACAAAATTCAGCTGAGCACTGGGTGTTACAGGAGGCAGACGGAGTGCTAGAAGCTTTCACCCCTCACCTGACCCAGCAGAACCCACCAACGAGGCAACAGGTGTGGGGGGATTCAGTCACTGCCCAAGTGCACAGCTGGTAAGTGGTAAAGGCAGGGCTCGAACCCAAGCCTGCCACGCTCGAAGTTCACTCTTCCCACAGGCTTCTCAAGGTCCCTCCCCCACCTCAGATCGGGGGGAAGGAAAATTCCAGCTCTGAATGTGTAACAAATGCTGCTTTCAGGTGGCCTTTGATGCTATTTTACTTGTGAGTTTAATATGCTTACTAAACGTTAGGGGAATGAAAATAAAGTTGTGATGTCTCTCAGAATGTTCAATTCGAGACTCGAGATGGGCCAGCGAACCACGCAGTCCTGAACTACCTAGATGCGGTACTTTACTGTTGGATCACACTGCTGACCTGCTGTTACCCATCCCCAGACCAGTGGGAAACCAGGCAACCACTCTGGTTTTTAAAAGCTCCTCTTGAGATGAACACAAATCCCCCCACAGCCTTCCCTGCCTTGCCCTATCTCCCTCTTACCTCCTTGAACTCCTTCACAGTCTTAAAGTACAGCCTCTGCTTTTCTAACAGTTCCAAGTACTGGTCGTTCAACTGGTCTCTTCTCATCTTGTTCTCTTGCTTCTTCTTTTCCATCTGTTGAAACATTTTGGGAAATGGTGAGGAAGGGCATGTAGTGACCAAGGCCTGCAGGCAACACCCAAAAGGTACTACTACCAACATTTTCATGGACTTCTTTACATCACTTCTGAGATTGACCTATTTATTTGCATGGTATTACATAGAGGTTTCTCTAATTTAATCAGCAATTCTATCATTGGGCACTAACTGTCCCATCTGTATGTGTGTGTGTGTGTGTGATTACAGTTTCACAATCAACAGACTGGTGGTTCTCCACCAGGGGTGATTTTGCCCCCTGAAGGGCATGAGGTGGTATCTGGGGACGGATTAGATGGCCACAGCTGTGAAGAGAGGGTGCTCCAAGTACCTTCTGCTAGGAGCCAGGCATGCTGCTAAACTTTCTACAACATGCAGGACAGCCCCCACACAACAAGGCGTCATCTGGTCCAACATGTTAATTGTGTTGAGGTTGAGAAACTCCTATGTAAATAACTGAGTCCTCTTTCATTCAATGTAAGTATTTCCATGCTATTTTACACTTTCAACAATCAAAACTTTAAAAACTCTACAATACTCCCAATCACACGGCTACCTTACCCATTGTTTTATTGGTGGAAAATTTAGAGTGTTTCCAGGACAGTGACCTCACAAACAAAAGGCTGGATTTGGGTTAAAGACTTTCCTAAGGTACCTGACAGCTTAGTCTTCCAAGAGATACTGCATGGTCACCCTGAGGACCAAACACGGTGGTGCAAGGCGGTATCCCTGCTCCCACAGAGGGTGCACGCTAGAGGGGCTGATGCTAACCAAGCACCTTGCACAATGAGCTCCATGTGCAAATTCCTACTCATGATCGCTACTGTGAAGAGAGTGACTGGGCTGGGGAACAGAGAGGCGGGTGGGTGCACGGCCTCTTCAGCTGGATGGTCATGGAGGGCTCTCTGAGGAGGTGACATCTGGGCAGAGTCGGCAGTGGTATGTGCACTATTTCCAGCAGCAAGCGAGAGCATCACCCAGATGGTGAGGGCAGAAAGCTGTGGGGGCCAGCTGGTGCCTGGCTCGCAGCAGGTGCTCAAGAGCATGCTAGACGGAATCACTGGTCTTCTAATGCCCGAGCAGGGCTTCTGACTTACACGTTGGAAGGGACGGAGCAGTAAATCCAGGTTAAAGCTGAACTGGCTGCACTGTATCCCAGTCATCTGCCTCTCCAGGCCACGGGCCCATCACCTGGTGAACTGCAACCTGGTGTCCCCGCAGCCTATCCCACCCACATGGGCATTGATCTGCCTGGTCCACTCCTGACCATGTATCCAGCTCCTAAATCACCTGGTGACCTACTGAGCCCCCTGCCCTCTTCTTTCCACAGGTCTGCACATGGACACCGGTCACATGCCTGAGCCCAGGTCTGGAGTCTGGTACCCTGCCTGCCCCTGAGGTCTCCCAGAGGAGGGCGGTCCCCCCGGGGACTCTGGTCAGGGCCATCTTACACTCATCCCTGGCTCAGCAGTCTGCCCTGCTCCCTTCTGGCAGGCTTCCTGATGCTGTCCAGATGATTATGGTTCCTGTCACCACTTCCCACAGCTGCTAGGAACCTTTTCTGCTGAGCTGGGTGGGACCTCACTGCTGGGTCCCTACCCTTTAAGTCGCATAGCCTGGCGGATAGATCCCGGACCTTTCCTGCCTGCTCTGTCCTCCAGCAGAAAATCTGGCCATGAATGACTATGTCTTAGCAACATAAACAGGGCACTTTAATAAATTTAATTTGAATGTCCCCAGGTCCAACCAGGAAAGGTAGTGTAGCAACCCTGAAACGGACTGACCTCGAGGCCAGAAAGGCCTGGGTTCCAATCCTACTTCTGTCACTCACTGTGTATCCCTGAACAGGTTATTTCATCTTTTGGAATGACAGGTCCCTTAGTTGCAAAATAAGGATAATATCACCTAGATCACAGGTTACAAGGTATGTATGACACTAGTTGTTAAGTGAATGACACATCACTTGGTTCAGGGTAGTACTCAATAAAGACTGTGTTCTGTCTTCATACTGGACACCTAGAATGCGCTTGGTAACAGGCAGTAAGAGTCCTCAGAATCAGGAGCTGACTCGTAGGTGTGAGTTTTATTTTCACACTGTCCTAGCAACCCCTTCCCCAGGCCCACTGTTCCACTCCTTGCTCATCCCCCTTCACGCTCTAGGTCAGGAACCCTAGATTCTTTTGCGGAGCACTTGCTCCCAGTATTCCAGAGAGCCAGAGACTTCACCTCCTCAGGATGAGGTTAAAATGCCTTCCAGTGGGTATCTGGGTGGCTCAGTTGGTTAAGCGACTTCCTTCGGCTCGGGTCATGATCCCAGGGAACTGGGTTCAAGCGCCGCATCGGGCTCTCTGCTCTGCGGGGAGACTGCTTCTCCCTCTCCCTCTGCCTGCCGCTCCCCCTGCCCGTGCTCTCTCTCTGTCTCTGTCAGATAAATGAAATCTTTAAAAAAATAAAATAAAATGCCTTCCAGTATGTGACTCTCTCTTCACTCAGGAGCCCTTCTGTGCACTGTACACACCTTTCCTGTTACATGTACACACTGCTGGTCTATGGTCTACTCCGTGTACGTCCCACACCCACCAATTCCGGGGCTGTGTGTGCTCCGTGAGGACACAGACTCCCCTGCCACATATACTCTGAGCAGGAACCACCATGGCATCCATAGAGGGAGGGCTATGGTTTTTTAAACAAACACTTCAAAAGACATGCATCCAAATGAATGTTGTCCTGCAAAGACAGCCTTCTTGCATTTGAAATGCCGGCCAATAATCAAACCTGACCAGGAACCCTCTTTGAGAACTGCCTTTGCAGTCAATTGAATGAATTCATTCACTCAGCAAACAGGTCGTGAAAGCCCACCATGGGTCAGGTGCCGGGCTCGCCACTGGTGATGCTCACATGAGGAAGAGAACCCTCTCTGCCCGTGGGCATCTCGTACCCCACTATCTAGTTGGGGAGACAGACACAGAGCAGCCTCTTTCACTGGTCGGCACTGAGGTACCAACAGCATGAAGCCTGGGGGAGAATGGAGAGAATGAATGGATCACATCCACGTCCTTTCCTAGGAACGCATCTCCTGGTAAACAGGAAGGGGAAGCCAAAGAGAAAAACAACAACAAAATAATCAATTCCCAGTGTTCTTTGCTATGGACAAGAGCAGCTCTGCGGGGTGCCGGGTGGCTCAGTGGATTGAGCCTCTGACTCTTGATTTCAGCTCAGGTCATGGTCTGGGGGTAGTGAGATGGAGCCCAAAATCGGGCTCTGCGCTGGGGGTGGAGCCTGCTTAAGGTTCTCTCTCCCTCCCCTTGACCCCCACTTTCCAGCTCTCTTTCATTCTCAAGAAAAAAGAGCGGCTCCCTAAGGAGGAGCATGATGGCATGATAGCAGGGCAGAAAGGTCCACCCCGCTGTGATCTGGGTCGTTAAAGGCTTGTGGTTAGCTAGGCTCTCTGTCCTCCTCCTCCTCCGTTATACCCTATCTAGCTCATCAAGAAGGGACCGTCCCGGCTGGGGTTTGTGTACGTGCACAAGGCAGATCACGTGCTGCCTCTTGACTGCTTTCATTTTTGGGGCTGAACAGTCTTGTCACTAGTGGTAATTTCTTTTTTTTCCTCCACTGACATCATTTTATTGAAGTCGTTAATGGAGAGATTAATATTTTCAACAGGGAAAGGGACATAAAGAGGTTTTGCCCTTAGTTCATCTCTTGTGAGATGAGATTATAGGAACCATGAAGGCTGGCCTTCTGTGAGCGGGTTTTTATGATGCCAAGTTCTACAGGCACCCTTTCCTTCGTGTGTTCGCATTCTGACATCACCCCTTGCACCACTCTGCCCCAAGCTTGAGAGAGGAGATGCCGAGTCCCCAGAGTTTGACTGCCATGCCTGAGGACCACTCTGGTGCGATCCACGTTTTTAAAGGGATCAAAAGTAAGAGATTCGGAAGTATTAGCCAAGACTCATCTGGTTATAACAGCAGAAAACTGTTGCTACGTCTGGTTTCTAAACAGTCATCAAATCTTTACTATGGTCAAAATGGCCCAAGTGCAGAGCCACAGAGTGATGAAAACTCCATGCTGGCCCCAGGATGAATGATTCTCTGTAAGGCTATCTCTGGAACTCTCAATGCTTATCAATTCCTCTTTTCTCTTCTGAGGCATAATATCCTCTCACTTCAGAATTCAGTTCAGTAATTATTTGCGTCTTTTACAGAGGATTCCTGAAAACTAAAATGCTCTCAAGCATCCTAAGGAATGAATCTCTAATGGTAGAATTTCAGGAACCAAAGATCCAGTGAAGAAGAGACAGTGGGCAAGAGAAGAAGTCCATTGGTGAAAGTTGGCTTCCTCATCTATACAATGCGGGTAACACTACTCATTTAGGAAGGCTTCTAGGAGGACTAGCACCATGCTTGGCCCATAGTAGATGTTCAATCCATGGGGCTACTGTTGAGAGCTTCCATTAAACCACCAGCCTGTGGAGCTGGTGCTGCCCATTGCAGGGTCGGAGGTCTGCTGGGAATCCAAGCTGCAGACACTGAAGGTGTGTCTTCAGGATTGGGAGCACATTCTCAGGATAAGCAGAAGAGGCCTGCTCTTCCTAAGGCCTTCTCCGTAACCAGTGTGAGATCCTGGCTGCACTACAGAAAACAAGTCCTCTCACCTTCATTCTGCTCTGCTTAATTCCTTCTACGATCTGTTCCATCTGACGTAAAAACTGGTCCCGGGCAGTAGGGGAGGCCATGGCTCTGAAAGGAACAATCAGCAGAGTGAAGACCAGCATGCAGGACGCTGAGGAAGGGGGAGGCATCAAGGAGTCCTCCCGGTGCCCAGATGATGCCTTTGAGAGGCGTGGTGGACTCCTGGGGGCCCCTGGGTCCCAGGAAGTTAGGGATTCTAAACTCCGAGGAAGGCACGACAATTAGCCTCATCTTATAACTGAATATTAATATTAATCTGTTTTCCTCGCTTTCTCTACAATTTGCTTAAGTATGTATTTTCTTAAAGCAAAATACAATGTTATTAAAATCAACAAAAATACTTCTTACTTTGATGATCACATGCACTGCCTAAGAAATGAATTCCATTTAGTTTTTAGAAATCTGAGGATTTGGAGGTACTGCTTAAGACTGGTAGACATACTCTGAGATTTCCCTAAAACCACGGTCAGGAAACCTGGTTTCGTTTCTAAGGGCAGCAGCTAAAGGAGTGGATTTCCTGGTGTCCTGAAACCATCCCCTTCACTTCCTGCTCTGTGCTGGGAACGGCGCCACAAGGATCTGAGCATGCGGATACAGGGACTGAGAATTCTGCCACAGGACGGGCTGACAGAGCAGAACTCATCACAGCACCATCACACACTGCAGCCTCTCTCAATTATCAGGAAATAATGATGAAGGCACCATTTTTAGAAATGTCAAGGCACTAATTGAATCTGAATCTTATCAGGGAGCTGTGGTTTCTTTTTGGTTTGTTTGTAGTTAGAAATGAAGCTTAAGATCTGGAGTTTGTAATCCATTCAGATCTTAGTCACCGGTCACCTGCCAGGGGCTGAGAGGTTTGTGCTGGAAGCAAAGGGAGCCTGCTATATAGACAGCAAGCCCTGGGCTGCCGGACGGTGAGCAGGCCACTGCGCACGCTTGAGGGCTGGTATGACTTGAGTACAGGTGGGCCTTGCCATACAATTTTTGGGGAAAAAGAATTCTGATCTGCATAAAGTAGTTTGGAAGATGCACACTCACCTAGAAACAAAACCTATCATTAGATTTCAAAAATCTTTTAAAAAAGTAGATTATTTCATTATCTAAATTGTGACGCATCTTTATGTGCTCAAGAACTAATGGTATTGATCTAATCTTAACAAGACAAAAGTAATATACGAAGAGATTACAGTAGTGAGGCACAAATTACTTGAAAGTTACTTTTTTCCCCCAAGATACTCCTTGGTGTTTCTCAAACTCACTCTAACGTCACTGTATTTTTGCAAGAACGCTGAGAAATTTTTGCAAGAACATGTAAAGCACGACACAGGTGCACTTTGCAGTGGGGGTGAGAGTGTAAAACCACCTGTCTAGCCCCGTCTCACCCCTCGTACTTCCTGTCACAGGGAGGTGAGCCGAATGCACAGTGAAGGGTACAACGAGGTACTGACAGGAAGGAGGACAGCCAGGACTTACTGTGAGAAGTTCTCATGAATGGAGTTCAGCAGGCTGATCTGAGGAGGAAAGGAAGAGAAAAAGGAAAAACCATAAGCAAAAGGTAGAAAGAGCCCCGCATGGCCCCAACCACTGCAAGGCTGTCTTGTCTCTGACACTGCTTCTGAAAGCAGCACACCTTGTTTACGGAGATGAAAGAACGTGAGAAAAAGAGCAGCATGTGCTTAGTCCCACAGTTTTTCCCAGAGCATCTACCTTCTGACAGCCCATGACCCCAGGAACAGAGGAAGAGGGCTCCCAGAAGGGCCTAAATTCCAGCAGAGAAGACACTCAGCTACCATTAGGGCCCTCTGGGCAGTTGCCACCAGTCCCTGCTTCCTCACCAAACAGTCTTCTTTATTTTCAGGGCTATCAGCTTAGGGGTGAAGAGCAAGGACACTGTGCCCATCCTGTAATTTCCCAATGTGGCCAGCTGCTGGGCGGCTCTGAGAGCCCCCTTCCCACGGAGAACACCTTAGCCCACACAGGAGGACCCTCTCTCTGCCCCAGCGATACAGTCCGGGGCAGGGCTCTGAGTTGAGGGCCAGAAACCTCATCTTCTTTCTGGCTGTGTCACTAACTCAGCTTGTCATTGATCCTACTTGGACCTGAGTCTGTAACACGGAAATGGTATTCTTGCCCTTAGGACTCCACAGGGATGCTCGAAAGCTAAAACAGCACAGGCGTAAATGGATTTGGAATAAAAGGCACAATTTATGCAAATACAAAGTTCTATGTTAATATGGCTTGGAATTAAAAGGCTCCCACCCCGCCCCTGCACACTCCTAGTTTTTAAAAGAATGCAATAACTTTAAACACTACTGATGAAGGAAGGTGATGGGCTTTCTCAGAAGGGCTGGCCTGTCCCTAAGTTAGGGTTGGTAAGTCTTCCCCTCACTAGGCAGAAAGACCCCAAGGCCACAGTATGTGGCAGGGCTACCCCCCCCAGGTCTGACGTAAATCCTACCAAATGCACTCATCTCATACTCAAATATTTATCAAATGCCTATCATGTGCCTGTTACTGTGGACGACCCCGGATACAGAGAAAAACAGAACTCAATGCCCCTTCTCAAGAAGTGTCCTCTAGGGAGAGAGATTGATCTGGTTCGATTGACAATAGCCAAGAAAGCTGACACTAATTACACATGCCTCCATTTGGGGGTCACGTGAAAGATGCACCTGCAATATCATTCTTCTTAAGGGGGCAATCAGTCCAGGCGGCAAGGTGACGATGAAATGGAAACAAATTCTGTTGACCTCGAGGTGAGGGGGTAGGCAGAACTAGTATGTGTCCGGAGCCACCAGATACAAGGACCTTCACCATCATTTCCCATTCTGTCTCCATCACAGTCAAGCAAAGCGGGTGTAATGCCCTCTCTTACAGAATAAAACCCCCATCTGTCCAACTGAAAAGCGCATGCTCTCTCCATCCCACTGTGTTGCTACTATGAAGACCACATTGTTCCTTTTCCTTCCTTAAAACACAGCTGCACACCCTGCCACCATGCTCCAATCATCTGTCATCTGATGTGAGGGAGCCCTGAATCATGAGTGGATTTAACCTGAGTGTCAGAGTAATGCGGAGGGGGTGTCAGTGCCCGGGGCACCCCTTTTCACTCCTGGCGTGTCAACTCAAACGAGCCCACCATGCCCATTTTATGTAGCTACTCCTTTAAAACTCAAACTAAAGTTCTGCCAACCCAGGCCCCCTCCACGTGCGCCTTCTGAGTCTCTCTCCAGACATCGTTTCTCACAAGGCACTACGAGACTGCAGTCCCCCAGTCCCATGTCAGCCCATGCACCTGTGCAAAATTAGCTCTGAAGCGTCTCTTACTCTCTAAGGCTGTGACCCAGGCATGGGGCACACAGCAGGCGCTCCTTCCACGCCCGCCCACCACCTCCCACCCAGTTCGGCTGAGCTTCCTGGGGTCAACAGCCCTGTCTCTGCCCTTCTGATTAAGTTATCTGCTTTTCATACAGGTTCTTACCTCTTTTTCCAAATAAACCTTTTTATCATCCAGGGTATTATATAAAGTGAAGAACTGCTTGGTTTCTTTGTGCACTGCCGAAACTGTAAACATAAAGAAATCAACATACGGATAAGAAAATGCATCAGAACAATCCTAAGCTCCCCCTGCCCCAGGAGGCCCACCCACAGGAGCCCGGCGTGTCAAGGCCTCTGTGTGGAAGCCCCACCGTGCCCACAAGCCTGTGCAGAGTTGCTTCGGGCTGGCGGGAGCCGGCCTGCTGTGACTGGCCCAGCCGGGACGAGGAACCTGGCAGCATGTGGGACGGGTGGGTTTCTCAGGTGAGGCACCCTGAGGGGAAGGTGGCAAGGATGAGGAAGCCACCATGCCACCTCCTCCTGCTTAGGTGGCGTCCTCCCTTCCCACACTGCTCCTGAGCAGGAGCCACAGTCTGCTCCCTTTTGGAATCCCTATGCTTAGCACGGGCCTATACAGCAGGCCCTCCAAGATATCTACTAGATGAATGTCATGCCTAACCTAGGGCAGAATATGTGCCTAAGGAGTATGAATTTTCTTCCCATTTCTGTGCATATGACTAAGGGGGGAGATCTTATTTACCAGGCTCCCAACATCCTTTCCTATAAAATTACTCTGCATCTCTGTCCACCTCTTGTTTTTCACTCTTCCCTATAGAATGACATAGGAGGAAAGCACCAAAATCTAGGACTGGGACTGGGCCGTATTCACCAGAGGACGAGGTCAGCGGGGAAGGATTCCTGCCCCAGCTCGTCTTCCTGCTTTGTGGCTGGGTGCATGGGTGGCCCCCACGTGGCTCTGCGCCTATGTGCCTCCCTCATCGCTCTGAGTTCTTTTAGCATACAGCGGGGGATAAAATCCCAAGACCTGGATTCACAATCAGGCTTTGGGCCTAAGCTGAGCCCTCCAATGTAGCTGTAACCAAAGATCCTGATGTCTAACAGTTACCAGGCACTGGCCGGACGGCAGTGGGGTCTGCTTTCCCAGGGGCTCTTGCTTGTTGAACGCAGGTCCCTCTGGAGCAGCACGAGTTGGGGAAGAGAGACAGGCAGAGCAGGCCATGGGCACTGGTGGTTTCCTTGGGCAACTGCCACTAACATTTAAACCCGAATCTTTAAGCCGATCAGCCAACTTTTAATCTTATTACCCAGTGAGAGCTGTGCCTCCCCACAGCGGTGCAGCTCAAAGATGAGCGGGGGCTGGAGATACTGCTGTACGTATTTGGTAACAGAGGTTAATAACCCGATACAGGTATTTTGAGGCAACAGTTAAAAATGCTCCCAATATCAAACTGTCTAATTTGTATAAAAATTACCACATGAACTACTCAGTATGAAATACTATTCTTTTTTTTTTTTTTTTTAAGATTTTATTTATTT